GAGCCTGTAGGAAGAACAGCTTAAGTGTTTTCCTGCTCCAAGGAATTTGAGGATATTAACGCTCCGAACATTGTAAAAGTCTCTCTGTAAGTTACTAGCAATTGGGAACAATGCCGACTCCTCCCTGGGTGGCTGGGAAGGTCAGTGTTGTTTGTCGAAATGCGGCAGGAAAAACCTTGCACCAGTCTCCAGGCCAGGTTCTAGGAGACTTTGTGTGCTTCCTCTTTCTGGGACCCTTGCAGGGCTGTGAGAACAAGCCCAGGCCAGGCTGCTGTAAGAGGAGAGACCTGTGGATCAGAGAGATACTGGCTGCTCCAGCCACACCATGCCACGCCACGCCACGCCAAACCATCCCGCCAATGGTCAAACATGGGAGAAGATCGATCCAGTCAGGATCAACAGAGTAAAAATGAACTCTACTTTCTGGGAGTCATTTTGTAATATAAGCCATAGTTTAACATACGTATGCAGTTTGACCCAGTATCGGGTTCTAAGGAAATAATTTAATTAATGTACAAGCTTCTTTAAAGAACACTTCTTATCACAGCAAAAGGTGAAAACACTTTATCATACATCAGTGGTGGAATGGTTACATTGGGGTGCATGTACATGGCGGATACGCTGACATTGTCACAAATGGTCATACGGCTCTAAAGGAACCTGTCTGTACCATATAGTTCCATCAGTGAGGCGTGTCAGAAGTCATTGTATGTTGCCCTGGCCAGTGTGGCTTGGTTGGAGCGTCATCCCATAACCAAAAAGTTGTGAGTTCAGTTCTTCAACAGGATATAGAAGGTTGCATGTTCGATCCCCATCTGGGCATGAATGATCCCCAGTCCAGGTACGTAGGGGAGGCAACCAGTCGATGTTTCTTTCTCACAAGGATGTTTCCCTGTCTCCCTTCCTCTCTCTCAAAGCCATAAAAAAAACTGTCCTTGGGCGAGGATAAAAAAATTAAAAAAGAAATCATTCTATGTTTTATAATATGAATCCGCTTTTGAATAAGACAATACACATTTCTGCAGAGAAAAGTGTCTGGCCCTGGCTGGTGTGGCTCAGTGGATTGAGCACCAGCCTGTGGACTGAAAGTTGCCAGTTCGATTCCCAGTCAGGGCACCTGCCTGGGTTGCAGGCCAGGTCCCTGGTTTAGGGGTGTGCGAGAGGCAACCGATCAATGTATCTTTTGCACATGGATGTTTCTCTCCCTCCCTTCCCCTCTCTATAAAAGTACATAAATAAAATCTAAAATAAAAAAAAGAAAGAAAAGTATATAGCAGGGCATAAATTACTAACAGTGGTTTCCTCTGGGGAGATGTTATAGATGATTTTTTTTTTACCTTCTACATTGTACCTTTGTGTATGTGGATCTTTAAAAATAAACACCCATTTTAATCATTTCCACTTTGGAGAATGGTAATATACTGTGTACAAGAGCTGTGCTGCATAGTCACGCATGGCCCTTGATTTCCCTGCATGTAACCCTCGGGGTGATCTCAACGGAGCTGCTTGCTCACAAGATGACAGGCGTCCGCCCTCTCAGTGTGGGGTCTCCCCACGGTGTGGTAAAGACACACTGCACACCTGCGCAGACACACGACAGCTGAAGTGCCGGCAGCGGGCTCTGGGAGCGAGAACACTGCCCTTGGAGTCAGAAGACCTTGGTTCGGGTTTTGTTCTGGCTTCTCCTTTCTGAGTTTCTGTTTCTTTCAGTAAAATCGGGGTTCATTTATCAAACGGTAAACATTTATTATTACCGCATTCAGGCCCTGTGGCTGGTGCCAGGGGCCCAGCTCCCACCCTGCTTCCCTCAGGATAGTGATGGGAGAATCAATTCCTACATGAACAAAAAAGCATAACACGGAATGGAATTCCAGGCACTGAGCTGTGCTTTCGGTGGTTTCATTAAGCAGAAGGCATGGGACTGGATCCGTTATGAGGCCGGGGTACAATGTGGTGGCTGGGGACTCAGGCTCAGCAGAGAGACTGACCGAGTTCAGATCCGGGCTCCACCAGGACTCAGGGGAAATCACTCAACATGTCTTTGAATCAGTTTGCAGTCATTCTGTCTACATTTATGTTTTTCTTAGTGCTCTAGGCGATATGGGTGAACGGAGGAAATAAGCCCTCACACTGGGTATATATGCTTTGCAAATATTTCTATCACATGTATTCCAACTAATCATGCCAATTTACGTCTTTTGTTCTCAGTCTGCTTTCTCACATGAAGACATTTTCTTCTCCAAAGATAAATCTGCCGGTATTGTTTCCCTGCTTGTTCTACTACAGTCGGTCAAGGGCAGCTTTTGGAAAAAAAGTGACTTTTAATTCAAAACTTCATGATGACAAGCACCAACCAGGTGAACAGAGCAGGAGGGAGTGCTGTCAGCAGAAGGTTTAGTATATACTTCTCTCCTTCATTCCTCTCTATTTACCTCTTGCTGACCTAACCTCCTCAGCCATTCCCGATCCCAGAAAGATGGCTTATTCTTGATCCACTTTGGTTGCTATGGTTTGAATATTTGGCCCCCCGCCCAAATTTGTATGTATAAATCCTAATGCCCAGTGTGATGGCGTGAGGAGGTGGGGCCTTTGGGAAGGGCTGAGGTCAGGAGGGCGGAGCCCTCACCGAGGGCATGAGTGCTCTTTTTTGATAAAAAGAGGTTGCACAGGCCCCCTCACCACTTCCACCCTGTGGGACCCAGTGAGAAGTCTGGGCTCTGGAAGTGAACTCTCACCAGAACTGACCTTGCTGGCACCTCGGACTTCCACCCTCCAGAACTGTAAGAAATTTCTGTTGATAAGCTGACCAGCTGGTGGTATTTTGTTATAGCAGCCTGAACAGACTAAGACACTGGCCTTGACCATTTTTTTCAGCTTAGCTCCTTCCCCCTCCAACTGGACTGTCTTTGTCAAGGGTTTCAGTTTTTCGGTCCAGAGTGAGAGGTTGCTGCCCCAGCTCATCCAGTCCCACGCTGGCTGGGTAGGATGGGGTATGGTGGTGGTGGTTAGATAATATGAAATAAAACGATGGCACTTCTTTTTTAGGAGCAGCTTAGCATGGCCGTCTCCCATCAAAAGGGTGTTGCTTTGGCACAGGTGACTGACATTTATAGTTCGCCTTCTCAGTCTTTGCCAGTGAAGGACTTTATGGACACCCGTAGACGGATGAGTGTATCAGCTAGTTTAGGCCACCTTAGGCTGTGGTATAAAATGATTCCTAAAATTAGGTGACTTACAACAAACATTTTGCACGTGTGATGTGGCTAATGCTGACTGGCCTTGGCTCTGCTGTGTTCCAAATGTCTTCTCACTCCAGGACCCAAACTGAAAGACAGCCTTTATCTGGAGCACGCTGCTCACCTTGAGGAAGGAAGAGAGAAAGCTGGCGGAACCACATGATGACTCTTCACGCATACGTCTGGAAGTGGCAAATATTATATCTGTCCACATTCCACTGGCAAAGCAATTGCGTGACCAAATCTGAGGTCAGTAAGGAGGGAGGACACTTCTGTCATGGGAAGAGGCGAGAAATATTTTGAACAAATTAAAAACATTTTCACAAAGGTCATCACAGTCAGTAGGATCATCAGTAACATTTTGCAGGTGAGAAAACTAAGATCAAAGATGTGAACTCAGCTCTGTCTGGCTCCAAAGTTGGCTATTTCTACCATGCAGTCTCTTTGGGTAACTTTTACGCACTATGTAGGGACCTGGAATGGTAATTTATTCAGGGGTACGTTCACGTCTCATCAGCCCCACAAGCTTCTCCACGGAAATTTCTAGAGCTAAACCACCTTTGACTGTTTCCTTGAAGAATCTGAAGCTAGAAAAGGGTTGAGCTCAGGGAACTGCCCCCATGAGAGCTGATTCTATTCCACTTAGTAATTTTTTAAACTGTTGAATTATTTATCTGCTTTATGAGTTTGTAGATCCTTGGAACAGGGATAGCCCATCAATCACCCTTTGCTTTTGTTTTCTTGTGTGTGTGTGTTGTGTCTGAGCTCCTCGAAGCTATTTTCTAGGTAATTTTAGAAACTTCAGATTGCGCTGGATAGTTACATTCACAAAAATTATCAGTGAGGTGGGGAGAGCGCAAACCCATCTGCTTTTGCCAAAGAGCAAGGATTTTAAATTGAGAAATCCAGTTGTGGTGGGGGTGGGGCTGAAATTACAACCAACACAGAATGTTTCACTGTGCTTGCAAATGTCTTCTGATTCCAGTGCAGTCTTGCCCATGTTGGAGTCTCTAGTTCCCAGCTGCTTGGTATAACACATGTAGGTGCTGATTTACCGGGTTTACGTGTCCATCAGGGTCGGGATTATGGTGGGCAAGCGGCCACTCAATCTAAGGAGGCATTGGCAGGAATCTGAGAGTTGTCTTGCCTTACTCCAGCACCGGCCCTGGTATCCATTTGCTCCACAGCATGAAAATGTCTCTGTAAACCTTACCTGTAAGAATCACCTGCCCTCCCGTCCCCTGCTGGACACGCGGGAGATCCTGGAGGACCTTCTGCCCTGTTAGTTTCCTCCACCGGTGAGGCCCATTTCCAAGTTACTGTGTACGTGTGTCTGGCCCAGGCTTGGTGGGGAAGGCAGAGAGGGAGGGTGCGTTTGTGCCCAGGTTAGGCCGGGCGCGTCCATATCCGGGTGGACAGGGTGGGTGGGGCCGCCGTTCCCTCCAGGTCCCGAGGTGGGTTGGGGGTGGGGAGTGACGAGCAGAGATTCCCTTCCACCTCTTTAGCTCCGAGAGGGGGCGGCAGAAGAAGCGCCAGGGGTGAAAAGGGCGTGCCCACCCTGCGGATCTGTGTCTGGGAGCGCCCCCAGACCCCCGGGCTGGAGCGGCCACTAGGACTCAAAAGAAGAGCAGGGGGAACTCGAAGACGGCTCGCCGAACCCGCCACCCGTTCCGAACTTGCCCGGGAAACTAGTGCGGAGGGAGGGGCCGGGGCCCGGCCGGTGGCGGGAGGAGGGGCGGCCGCAGCTGCATCCAGCCCCGTTGGCTTCCTTCCCAGCTCTCCTTTGCCTGCCTCCTCCTCCTCTTCCTCCTGTATGAGTCAGGCATTTCCCGGGGACTTGGAGCAGCCACTCGCGGCCCGGGCGCCCGGTACTGTAGCAGCAGCCGCCGCGGTCACCGCGTTAGGAGCCCCAGCGCCGGGGCCGCCACCGCGGCGAGCACCCGAGTCCCGGGCGCACACGAACCATGGAGAGGGCGGCCCAGGGCGCAGACGGCGGCGGGGGCAGCAATAGCAGCAGTCGCAGCAGCAGCCGCGCCACCTCCGCGGGTTCCTCACCCTCCTGCTCCCTGGCGGGCCGGGCGGTCTCCAGCCGGTCGGCGGTAGCAGGGCTCGTTGGCGGGGGCAGCCGCAGCAGCCCAGGCTCGGTGGCCGCTAGTCCGTCCGGGGGAGGCGGCCGCAGGAGGGAGCCGGCGCTCGAGGGCGTGCTCAGCAAATACACCAACCTCCTCCAGGGCTGGCAGAACAGGTAACGTGCCCGCCGCCCGCGCCAACGAGCGCCCCTCCCTGCGCGCTGCTCAGTGTGTGTGTGTGCGTGCGCGATCGTACCACGGGCGAGCCGGGTGCTCTCTCTGCTTGGGTGTCCTTTCTGCGTCCCTGCTCCTTTCGAGGTGGGGTGCCCAGAATGGGGTGACCCCACCCCAGGGCTGCACCGCAGTGGCAGGGAGGGAGGTGAGAGCCTTGGTTTTTTCTGTACTGGCACCTGCAGGGACTGGAGTGCTGGGCGCAGCGCGTTGGTGCCGGGCCCTGCCTGCTAGCGGTTTCCCGCACTCCTGAAGAATGGTTGAAAAAGGGAGCAGAGTGGGGAGTGCTTTATACCAGGATGAAAAGCGTTAATACATCTGGTCCTATCACAGCAATTCTCTTCATAACTTAGTTCATTTAAAACTTTAGTGTTTAAAAACACCCCCCCCCCCCACCACCAAAAACCTGCCACGTATCCTGGGCGCCTTCCAGCTCGCGTGCTACTGCCCAGTTGGTTGGCTTGGAACCTCCAATCTCTGCAACGGAAGTTTAGTTTCAAAAAGAGAAAACTTACCCCCTTTCAAAATGGACAGTTTGTAGTAATAATAATAATAATAATAATAATAATAATAATAAATAGCTCCCATTAGGTGCCTTTTGACGTTCCCTGCTCACTACCCTCACAGTTGTGAAGCCTACTTAGAGGCACGTGTCCCGATGCGGGTGTCAAGGGTAGGGGTGCCCAGCACTTTTGGGGTGTGGGCAGTGCGTGGACTGCAGAAATCAGGATAGACTGGACGACTTCAAAGGATCAGGCGTGCTAATGCTGTTCACGTGATTTTACAAAACAAGCCAGAGGCAAACACAAGTGGCCATGCCTGAAGAATGGGGCTCTTCGGAGAGGTGGGTTGATGAGATCTTTTGTCCTGTCCTTCTAGCCTTTGGATATTAGGCTCTGGGGCCCTTGGGAGTGCTGGCGAGTTTTGAATCACGCCCTGGGAGGTGCACTTCTCCGCTGGTTACACTAGAGGACTTGGTCAACTCTCCCGAGGGTGGTTTGTAAATGTGAAGATTGCTTCCAGCTGAAACCTATCAGGCAGGTATTTACATGCAGTTCACCTCGGAGGAGGAAGATGACTTCCTAAGTTTGGAAACTGAGTTGTTTCTGTATCGATACTATGGACAGAGCACTTTCCCCGGGACCCGGTTTCCTTGGAGATCTGCTATGTTGTGGAAGCTGCACTTGAACTTTTAATTCTTTTTATTTCTCAAAATAGCCTCAGTATGCACTCCTGCTTCTCCCATTTCTTGAGTGTGTAGGCCTTCCATTCTTGAAAGCCAAAAAAAGTAGAATGCCTAGGACCAGAGAGGTAAGATGACTACATCTGATTTCGGTTTTTGGTAATTATGTCTTCTTGATGGCACCTCAGGACACCTTGTTGGTGACAGCATTTTGTGTGTTGGGCAGTCATTGTTAATGCTTTTTTTCCCCAAGTAGCTTATGAGGGTAACAGAACTTTTACCCTGGATTGCAGTTATTTTACTTGGGGACTCTATTTTACCTGCAGTGTCTGTCAAAGGATTTATTCTGTGGAGTGGATTTAGGAGGAGTTGGAGTAACTCATGCCTTTGTGTAATTTAAAATCCACTAGGGTATTTAGGTGGAGGCAAGATTGATAAGAGGCAAAAAAAAAAAATACCGACATGCTTGCAAGCTACCCAGGTGAAATGCGGTAGTGGGTACACCACTGAGGTCTCAGCTGAGGTGGTTACCGCGGTTTATAGCCACGCCGCGTTGCTCCTTGTTCTTAACCCCAGAAGACTCCCCATACTCGAAGTCTAGCACCAGCTCCCAAAGCTCTGTCTCTTTCTAACGGTCAGCGTCTCAGCGTTGGGCTTGTGTTTCCCACATCAGAGCAGTCATCTGAGCAGGGCCGAGGTCCATTAGTGATCTGGAGATTTATGATGGCTCTGCGATCACACCCTTCCGCCTTCTCACGGGGTCTTAGGCTGCGCTGCAGCCATGAAAAGGAAAAGAGGAGGATAATGAGAGGAAACCTAGAAAGTGCCTTTTTAGTTTACAAATCTATTTGTTTAGAGACTATTTTATGGAGGATCTGCTTTGTGCCAGGCACTGTTCTAGAAGCTAGAGCTACCCCAGGGAACACACACGTGGGCATCTTCTCATGAAGCAGTGGAGGAGACTGAGAACTAAACAAATAGAAGGAGCCCACACTTCCCTAGTCCAGGGCAACGCCTTGGTGCAAACACGTGGGCTGACTGGTGTGGGTTACCTGCATGTAGGGCCTGTGGCATCTTCCTTTGACAGCTCTTTCCAAATGGCCTGCAGTTAATGACAATCTCCAGCCACGAAGCTCGTGGTTCTTCCATGCTTTGGTCACACCCCATGCACCAATCACCCACTGGCAGTTTTTAATCCAGTGTCCTCTCCCATGTCCTCAAGTTGCTGCAAAACTTGTATTTTAACATCTAGTATCACATTCTGCCTTAATTTACCTGTAGTGCTTGCAGCCCCATCACCAGGCCCTTAGGAAGGCGGTTTGGGCCAGGACACAGAATACAGGACGTGGAGGTCACAGGAGAGAGAACTTCACGTCGTTGGACACGCTCAACCCAGGACACGTGGCTCACGCTCATTGGACGAAATAATCGGAGCATGGGGAAAATGCACATTGAGGAGTTTCTGTAATTTATTACTACAGTTATTTAAAGTAAATACTTCAGATGCGATAGCACGGTGTAGATCACAGGATGGTGTTAAGGAGTGCACCTCATGCATCTAAACAACTGAACAAAAATTTTCAGAAAGTAGGTGCTATGAAGATTAAAAAATGGTGAAATGAAGAAAAGTATAGAAATAATTTTGTGTGGCTCTAGTGTCCTTACTGAAATGCACATTAAAAATTATTCATTGATTGATTTGAGAGAGAGAGAGGGAGAGAAAAGAAACATTGACTTGTTGTTCTGCTTACTCATGCATTCATTGGTTGCTTCTTGTTGTGCCCTGAGCAGGGATCAAACCACAACCTTGGTGTATGAGAACATTCCCTAACCAATGAGCTACCTGGCCAGGGCCTGAAATTCACATTTTAATTGAGGACACTCTGTTCACCCATCTTTTGGTTTTTGTGTGGAGTGAACCGGGGCAGGGAGTGAAGTGCCTGAGGAAGTGGGTCGGCGCCAGGTCCCACAGCACCTGTAGGTGGGGGAAGAATTGAACAGTGTGTTTTGGCAGGATGGTAGGCAGGGAGGAGACGGTGTGATTTACACTTTAGAAAGTTCTCTCTGGCTACCGGCTGTGTGGAGATGAGATTTTCAAGGGGTCAGAATGGGAAGCAGAGGTACTGGTTAGGAGCCCATCATGGTGATCCAGGCAGCAGATGCTGGGGGCTTGGACTTGGGGGACAGGGGAATGGAGAAAAGAGACTGATTTGGAGCAGGGAGGGTAGACACTGCCGATGGGTTAGATGAGGAGGTGAGAGAAAGAGGGCTCAAGGAGAGCTCTTGAGTGTGTAGGCCTGAGAGGCTGGGAGGTCGAGGTGTCCTTTTTGGAACTGAGGGTCACAGTGGAGGACCATGCTTGTGGGTAGGATGGGGTACAACCGAGAGTTCTGTTTGAGTGGTATTCAGTTTGAGATGTCTACACTTACTAACAAATTGGCTGTATGAACTCTCCGTTGCCCTATGGCTAATTTTAGTTTCCAACCCAAATGGAACTAACTTGGATTTGCTTATCCTGTCAAGTGTTTGAGGGAATAATTTCTAATTGGATCTAAGAAGTAATAGTTAAATGTGAGGGTCTTCACTGCCATTCAGTTTGTGTTACTTGCAGGAAAGAAGACACTGCAAGCATATAGCCAGTCTCCACTTTGTTGTTTGGCCCTTGGTGTGGTTGTGAGAACACAGTAAAATCCTGAAAGACAAAGCTTGAATAGGATAAGGTAGGCGAGCGTTGGTAAAAGAAAACCTCAGGCCACCAGTGAACATTTGTATGGAAAGTAAGAGCAGCATAGGCTCCAAGTCAAACCCTGACATCGACATTTAGCACGTTCACCTTGGGCCAGCTTCTTCATTGCTCTGGGCTTCCGTTTTCTCATCTCTTAATGATGAACGTGATGTTATTCTTGCCCTTCTCGTTAGTTCAATGTGAGGATGAAATGAGGAAACTGGTATATCAGGGTCTGAGAGCAGGGCACAGCAGCATCTGGAGAAGTGCTAATTCTCATTGCATCTTGAATTTGTCCCTTCTCAAATGGACCCTTTCTGGTCCGTAACATTCTTGGTTCATTTTCTGAACCACTGTGGTTACCCTGGGACCCCATGAATGTAATTATTGAGTAATTCTTTGGAGAGGAGGTGATGGTCTGTTTTGAAGGCATCATTGTAAAACTTGGGCTCAAACATTTACATCTCGTGGGCAGTGACTCAACCCCCCTGCAGCCTCTGATCCCTGTCTCCCTTCAGTGCTTCATTTCCCTTCGTAACACTTACCCACATCTGACACGCTCAGAATTTTACTCTTTTGTCTTTTGGCACTAGACGGAAGCTTCCCGAGGACAGAGAGTACTTTTGTCTGCCTTGTTCACTGCTGTATCCCCAATAAGAGTTCAGTCGTGTTACTGAATGAATAGGAAAATGAATCAATGACAGAGAAGAAATCAAGCCAGCGTTTGGTTCAATTCGGCCACTGTTAGCTATTGTCATAAACCGTGGTTCTCTACCTGCTCCAAGCCTTGTCCTTGAGTTAAGATGTTTATCATTTGCTCTGTGTTCTCTGCCACCATCTGTCTTTGCAGGGTTGGAAAGTCTGCTTCTCTTGTGACATTGCCACCCTGCTTAGGGCCCACGTCAGCCCACTCCGCGTGGGTCTTTAGTGACCAAATATCCAGGGCTTATATTGAACTTGATCTCATTAACCACACGCTTAGAGAACGCAGTGTTCAGTCTGTACGCATGACTTCCGAGGGTTTGGGGACCACATGG